TTTCTGAGCTCCCCTCCTCCTTCCCATTTCTGCAAGAAGGGTCCCGACCCAAAATGTCAACTTTCCTGTTCCTCTGATGCTGCCTGGCCTGCTGTGTTCCTCCAGCTCCACACTTTGTTATCTCTTAATTTATATGATGTGGTCATTGCTGACTAAGTCAGCACAAATTGCCCAAGCCTAATCATTCTTGAGAGGGTGGTGGTGAGCTGTCTTCTTGAACCACTACAGTCCTTCGAGTGTAGACACTCCAATAGTGTTGTCAAGAAGGGGATTACAGGATTTTAACTGAGCGACAACAAAGGAGTAGCAATATACTTCCGAGTCAGGATGGTGTGTGGCTTGGAAGGTACCCTGCAAATGTTCCAATGCATCTGCTGCCCTTTTTCTTCCGGCTGGTGGAGACCCTAGGTTTCAAAGATGCTGTTAAAAGAATCTTGGTGAGTTGCTGCAGTGCATGTTGTACATGCCACATACTGATACCACTTTGTGTCAGTGATGAAGAGAATAAATGTTGAAAATGATAAATGGGGTGTCTTCCAGGCAGATATAAAGGTGTAGAGCTGGATGAACACAGCAGGCCAAGCAGCATCAGAGGAGCAGGAAGGCTGACGTTTCAGGTCTGGCCGCTTCTTCAGAAAAATCTTCCAGGCAGACTGTTTTGGCCTGGATGGCGCTGGCCTTTGAGTCTTGTTAGAGTTGAATTCACTCAGGCAATGCAGGATATTCCATCACTCTCCTGGCTTGTTGTTTTTAAATGATTGGGAAGCATTTCTGAGAGTCAAAAGGTGAAATATTTCCCACAGAATTCCCAGACTCCAACATGTTCTTGTAGCCACAGTAGTCATATGGCTGGTCCAGTTCAATTTCTGGTCAATGGTAGCCCCCAGGGTATTGAGAGCAGAGGAATTCAGATATGGTTGAGAGAAGATGGTTGGATTCCTACTTGTGGGGGATGGTCATTGCCTGGTATGTGTGGCATGAATGTTTCTTGCCACTTATCAGCCCAAGCCTGGTTGTTGTCCAGGTCTTCCTACAAGTAGACACAGGCTGCTTCAACATCTGAGGAATTGCACATTATCTGAACATTGTGCAATCGTTAATGAACATCCCCACTTCTGATCTCGGAAGAATCGGAAGATCAGTATGACTAGGAGAATACCTTGAAGAACTCTTGCAGTCATGTCCTTGGACTATGATAATTTTTAAAAAAACACAGCCTTTGTGCTGGGTATGACTGCAACCAGTGGATAGTTTGCCCCTGATTCCCATAGACTCCAATTTTGTTAGGGCTTCTTGATGCCACACTCAGTCTTGATGTCAGGAACAGTCACCTTCACCTCACTTTGGAGTTCAGATTGTTCATCCATATAATACTGTCATTCTTCCAGAGCACAAGAAGCAAGATGATTCTATGGAATAATTTCACTAGGACCGCATCCAGTCAGAGAAAATGAACCCACATTTTGAAAATAAATTTAAAATTACAATATTGCTCAGTAGAGTTTGACATCATTCTCATCTCTGAAGTTATTGTGTTCTGCCTGGGTACTGCTCCTCAGAAAAGATTTTCATTCTTTCTACGGGATGTGGGCATGTAAGACAAGAGCTGCATTTTTTGCCAATTGCCTTTGAACTCGATGGCTTGTTAGATTACTTCAAAGGACAGTTAAGAGAAAACCATATTCATGAGAACCAGGAGTCATGTGTAGATTGATGGATTTCCATCCCTAAAGGATATTAGTGAACCAGGAGCGTTGACAGACATCTTTGTATCCCCTTTGGCCACAAGGGTCCCAGAGGACTGGAGAATAGCCAAAGTTGTTCCATTATTTAAACAGGATAGCAGGGATAATCCTAGAAATTACAGGCCCGAGTCTCACATCATTGAAAGGGAAATTATTGGGAAAGATTCTCAGGGACAAGATGTATACGAACTTAGAAGCAAATTGACTTATTAGCAATAGTCAGCATGGTTTTGTATCGGTGAAGTCATGCCTCACTAACTTGATTGAGTTTTTTGAGGAGGTGACAAAGATGATTGCAGAAGGAAAAGCGGTTTATGTTGTCTACATGGACTTCAGTAAAGTCTTTGACAATGTCCCTCATGGCAGACTGGTACAAAAGGCGAAGTCACGTAGTATCGAGTGAGCTGGCGAGATGGATACAGAACTGGCTTAGTCATAGGAGACAAAGGTGGAAGGATGCTTTTCTGAATTGAGGGCTGTGACTTGGTGTTCCACAGGGATCAGCGCTGGGACCTCTGCTGTTGTGATTTATATAAATGATTTAGAGGAAAATGTGGCCGGTCTAATTAGTAAGTTTACAGACGATACAAAGTTTGGTGGAGTTGCAGATAATGAGGAGGATTGTCAGAGGATACAGCAGGATATGGATATGGAGGCATGGGCAGAAAAATGGCAGGTGGGGTTTAATCTGGACAAATATGAGGTTATGCATTTTGTAAGGTCAAGAACAGGTGGAAATTATACAGTGAATGGCAGAACCCTTAGCAGTATTGATATGCAGAGGGATCTGGGTGTGCAGTTCCAGAGATCACTGAAGATGGCAGCACAGGTAGATAAGGTAGTTTTGAAAAAAAGGCTTATAGCATCATAGATAGTAAAAACTGCCAATGCTGGAGTCAGAGATAACACAGCATGGAGCTGACAGAACACAGCAGGCCGGGCAACATCAGAGGAGCAGGAAAGCTGACCCAATATAAGTTTAAGATTGTGAATGGCACAGATAGAGTGAAAAATATAAAGCTTTCTTCCAGAGTGGGGGTTCAATTACAAGGGGTCACATGTTCACGGTGTGGTGGTGGTGGTTGGGGGGGGGGGGGGGGGGGGGGGCGCCGGTGGTGGAAGGAGCTGGATTTTAAAAGAGACGTGCGAGGCATGTTTTTCACACAAAGGGTGGTGAGTGCCTGGAATGTGCTGCCAGAGGAGGTTGTAGAATCCGACACAATAGCAGCATTTGAGAAGCACCTGGACGAATACATGAATAGGAAAGGAATAGAGGTATATGGATCCTGTAAGTGAAGACAGTTTTAGTATGAAAGGGCAAAATGTGGTGGCCACAGGTTTTGAGGGCCGAAGGGCTCCATTCCTGTGCTGTTTTGTTCTTTGTTCAAATGGGTCTTTATGACAATTGACGATAGCATTATGGAGGCTAGTTTTATGTTCCAGACTTATCAAATTTAATTTCTGCTAGCCACTGTGGTAGAATTTTAACACTTGTGCCTAAAACATTAACCTGACCCTCTGACTTACTGGTGTAGTGACAGTACCATTACACCACTTGTCTCCTCTACTATATTGGCCTTGGAGTAAGTCAATAGAGATTCCTCAGAATGATAACTAGTACATAGAAGGTTAAATTATGAAATGAGGTTTCCTAGATCAGTATTGGCTAAGTTATAGAAAATTAAGAAAGGTGCTCCTTTGGCACAGTGGTTGTGCCGATAGCCAGGAGGCTTGGATTCCAGTCCCATCTGCTCCAAAGGTGATAACATCAGAACAGGTTGATTAAAACAATTTGAGGGGTGATTGAATTGAAGTGTTTAAGATGATAAAGAGATAGACAAAAATTGTTTCCTCTGGTGATTCCAGAACAAGGTGGCTCTTCTTTGTCTGCACCACTGGTTACAACATCAAAACAAAACTTGAATTTGTCAAACAATTTCCTTTTTGTAAAGCTATGTTGACTTTATATTCTGCTTTGTTAAACATCCTCAACAATAGATTCTAGCACATTCTCTGTGACTGATGTTGCATTTCTGGCCTATCATTCTCTCCTCTTCCTTTCTTTAATAATGCTGTTACATTTACTAACTTCTATTTTGCTGAGCTGTTAGGGAACTGTGGAATTTTGCAAAATCATAGCTAATGCATCCACCATCTCTGCAGCTACCTCTTTTAGAACCCTACGATGAAGGTCATCAGGTCTTAGGAATGTTATCTTTAATAATCCCTTATATTTCTCCTAATTCTTTTTGTGCTGTTATTAATTAACTCAGTTTCTTTATTGTATTAGTTTCCTTTTTAACCTCTTTCTGGTATGTAATTTGTGTTTTCTGCTGTGAAGATAGGCAAAATATTTGTTGAACATCTTTTAAATATTTCCACAACTGAGGTAGATATGATTTTTTTTTCAGTCAAGAGTATTACAAGTAATTGAACCAAGGCAGATAAGTGGAGATACAATACAGATCTTCAACCATCTAATTAAACAATTGAGGGAGTACACTGAAGGTTCTTCAGACTTGTTCCTGGGATGGTAGGACTTATCAATAACGTGTTTGGGAAACTGGACCTGTTTCCTATGAGAGGTGATCTCATTGAAATCTATAAAATACTTGAATTTTTTTAAAACTCAATGTGTAGAATCTTTGACATACTCTGCCAAGAGGGCTATGGAATCTCAGTCAGTGTATATTTAAAGAATAAATTGAGATTTCTAAATACCAATGATATAAAAGGGTCATGAGGGGCAACTTTTTTTTTGTATCTATAAAGGTGTCAGATGCAGAGTATTTGACATTTGACTAAGTTAATGAATAGGAATGGTTGGGAGGGATATGGGCCAAACGCAGGCAGGTGTGACTGGTTTAGTTTGGGACCCTGTTTGGCATAGAGTAGATATTGAAATGGCACAGTACACTGAATGGGCTGAAGGACCTAGACCTGCTTTTATGTATTCATAGATTGGCTCGAGAATGAATGGCCCACTCTTCCTATAGTAGAGCGGGGAGTGGGGTTGACTAGGTTTCATGGAGAGTAAGCATGAAATTGATGGGCCAAATGGTCTCCTACATTATCATAAGTGACCATGTCACAGCCAATCTAAACCTCAATTCTTTTTACCTGCCAGATCAGGTTAATTTTAAATGTATCTCACTGAAGCACAATTTGCAATCTCTAGTCAACTTCACCCCACCTTAACTGAGGTACAAAAATATCCAGTCTACATCCAGACAATCTGGTGATGGAGATGAAACATTTGCTTCAAATTGCTTTATTTAAGATAACTCAAACTGCATGATATGGAAATAATCATCTGCTTTCAACATGTAGAGGACTAGAACTGCTCATTACCAGTAACTTAGTTTACAATGAAGGATCATTCCATGGTTGTAACAAGTTTTCAGCAACTTCTGCCCCAGAGTGACTCTAGCCTATTCTGTGCCTGGCTTCTTCTGAAGAAAATTCAGTAAAGAAAGGGCTACTTGTTCTAATAAAAGCAAAATACTGCAAGTGCAGGAAGAGTCATACTGTACTTGAAATGTTAGCTCTGTTTCTTCCTCCACAGCTGCTGCCAGGCTTTCTCCAGCACTTTGTTACTTCCCCCTCATAAGGTACTTCATTAATTATAATACACTTTGGGCCATTCTGAAGTACCTTTTGAAGTGTAGTCATGGTTGAAACATTGGAAATGTGACAGCCAACATATGCCCAGGAAGTTCCCACAAACATCAATATGATATTTGCCAGATAACTTTTTTTTTTCAAACATTGTTGCTTGAAGGATAGACATTAGTCAGATAGCCAATGAAAACTCCCCTTTTCTTTTAAATAGCACCATGGAAGATTTTACTTCTACCCAAGGGGGCAGACAGGGCCTTGGTTAACATTTAAGAGAGAGCACTTTTGACAATGCGATACTTCCTCTGTACTACGCTGGAGCATCAGCAAACGGAACTTGAACTACAACCTTCTGAATCAAGAGATCATTGTACTACCTACCAAGCAACGTCTGAAAGTAATAGAATACAGAGCAAGGAAGCTCAAATACAGACCACAAGTGTGGCTAAATACCCAGGCAAACAGCAAGTGTCTTAGAATGCAAGGTCAAAAGCACCAAAATTAAACCATTTGTTATAATGAATTTCCATAGTTTATTTGCACCTGACATTGTGGTGGAATTTGACGTGACTTTGGTTAAGCTGTTTCTCCAAGACAGAAATCCATATTGAACTGGTTTAAATGGACTGCCTGTTAATGTTTCCTGCACTGCAGTCACTGGGAATGAAGCCAATGGAACTGAACATTACCAGAAAATGTACCATGATGAGGCAAAAGTGAATGCCTAGCATTTTGTGTGTAAGGAAGTTAACCAAAACGGTGCCACTTTCCACCAATAATAAACTCAAGATTCTAAATACTTCCAAGCCAATGAAAAAACCTTGTTACTGAAACTAAATTTCACTTGAGGGGTTGATGCCATCAGGTCACCACCAACATCATCACATGCAATAGCTTTTAAACTCAAATTAGTTATGCCTGAAAAGTTTAATCCCCATCCAGCTCCATAGGTGAAAGAATACAAACACTGGGATAGTAATGGGGAGTAGTAGGCTGTAGAAACACAAGCTGGCCATACTAGTGCAGCCCTGTGGAAAATCCTTGTCAAATGTAGCTGAGTACAACAGCCCAGCTAAAGAGAACAGGGGAACCAGCACTGTCAGAGTTGACAGATGGATTGTCATTATCTCACATACAAGATAAACTCCCTCCCTTTAAAATAATCTCAAACTTCCAGAGTTCCCCACCACTTCCAGATATTCCAGAAGCAATGTGTGATCCGTTTACTGCTGTGAAAGTTCTTCCTCCTTGGGTCTGTCTTCACTCTTGCGAATTAACTTTGCATCCTGAGGGATCATGTTGGGAATTCCATCGACAACAGGATAGGCTATTCCCAACTCATCATTGATCAGCTGATTGGAGGATTCATCATACCTATAAAGGTGACAGAGGCAAAGTATTAAACTGCAGCTCATTCAAAATGAGTTGGAACTGGAATCTGCCCTTTTAATCTGGTTGAAAATGAACAGATCAATGTTATTTTTCAAAAGGCACTATCTTTCTGTGATTCTCAAAACATTTCCAACTTTCAAAAGAGGTGGAAAGACAAGAGAACACTTCTGCATTTACACAGTTTCTTTCACAAGCTCAAGAAACCTGATAATCAGCAGATTGTGTGTAATACAAGTGTTGTGGTTGAGGGTCAGTGGGGAGAACTGCCGAGCTGTTGTTCAAAATTGTGGCTGTGGGAGGGTATTTCGATAATTGTCTGATTTAAAAGGTGAAACACAGCCAAGACAGAAACAAAAAAAACACTAAAAATAAATGTGGGGAAATTGTTATCTCTAACAACAAATTGATAATTTTATTAAACTCAACCTCTTTTGGTACAGGGATCAGAATTGATCTGCTAAACAAACCCACTTTTCTGGTTCAGATACTGTTTGATCTTATGTGTATTTCCATTCTTCTCTCTACACTTCCCTGAAGATGTTTACCTTTTGATGGGATGGAGTTCTTTGATCATTTGTTCCCTAGACTCAACAAGGAAATATTATTTACACAAGTATCTTTAAAGCAAATATTATGCTATTTGATTGAGAATGGTATTGCAGTCAAGACACTCACAGACATACTTGCTAAATCTTCAGGATGAAGAATCCATGAAGGAGTTTCATCCTTCTCCTCTAACTAAACAGCATTGAAGTCAATTGTATAACAATTCCGAGCTTCTAAAATGAACAAAGAACAGCCCCAAACCAAAAAGCCATTCTTGCTCTGCCTACAGTACTTAAATGGCAATACTATCAAGGAGGCAGAACCATTGCATCTATTTACTTCCCACAAGCCCCATCCTTTGATTTGAATACTCTGAATGTTTCTGGTGTACAATCAAGACAAAAATTCCTCCAGTCCAAAAGCACAAGACATCCTACTTTTGGTCAGTCAGTCGGCTGATAATCCATCACTTAACAAGCGCACTCAGCTCAGAATCAGGAAATCAGGTGTTTGAGTCTCACCCCAGAGATGTGAGTCTATAAATCTAGGTAGATACAGCCACTACAGTACTAAGGGAACATGGCACTGTCTGGGGACAGGAAATCAGTACAGAAGGACTGCTGTACTATTCAAAAGAAAAAGCTGGACAGTTGTCTGGTATTCATAGGACATAAGAACTAGGTGTAGGAGTAGACCATCTGGCCCTTTGAACCCACTCTGCCGTTCAGTAAGATTATGGCTGATATTTTCATAGCCTCAGCTCCACTTATCCACCCTCTCACTATAACCCTTAATTACTTCAGTGGGCAGAGAATTCTGCAGATTCACAACTCTTTGGGTGAAGAAGTTCCTCCTCAATTCAGTGCCAAATCTGCTTCCTGTAATTTTGAGGCTATGCCCTCTTGTTCTAGTTTCACCCACCAATGGAAACATGCTTCTTGCTTCTACCTCCTCATTTCATAATTTTAAAAGTTTAGAAAATCCCTTTCGTTCTTCTATGTCAATGTTTATCTGTCTACATCATGAAAAAGAGAGGTCTGGTCTAAATCACATTCTTGTGTGCATATCTGTACATTACAACAGTGGAAAGGTACTTCACTAATTGAGAAACATCTTCAGACGTTTGGTGGTAATGAGAGGCACTATATAAATATTAGTTGTTTCCATTATTTTAGAGAACATTTTGTGTTGGCATTGCACAGTAGAAACATCCGCACAGAGCTGATGGGAATCCTCTCCTTGCAGTATTAGGTGCTCTGAGATTATCCACCTTCCTTCAGGGCCACAATGAGGCCCAGATTCCACCAAAGACCCTCGGAACGGTCTTTCACTTTGCAAAAATCCTGCCTTGAGGCCAGTTCAATCCCTTTCCTGAACCCGCTCCAGTTCCCTTGTCAATCCCTTCAACCCAAAAATCAAATTCATTCTTCCTACTCTCCTGCCTCTCTGCCTCCATTCCGCTCCGCCATCCCGAATTATGAAGAGGAGACCATTCAGACGATCAAGAATGTGCTAGCACTTCTGAACAGCAATCTAGTTATTTTCAGCGACTCGTTCTCCTGTTCCTAACCATAGGATATCGCCCCTGCCCTAGTCTCTGACCTTCCCCAAGGACGAACCTGAGCTGCTTTCTGGACAGGGGACACACCAGGTACGGGAGCAGGGTCAGGTCCAGAGCAGCCTTCCTGTCTCCCTCCCCAGTCACCGGTTCTCCTGACAGCCTGGCCCGGGAGAGATGCAGAAGCCTCCGGGCCGCTCCCCGGATCCCAGTCCCGTGTCCAACCCGAATCATTCCCACCCGAAACTCCAGACTCACCGCCAACACTTCCGCTTCCGCATCCGGGCTAAAGCACTAGCCCCGCCCTCTCTACCTTTCACCCCCATTTAGAGGGGCAAACGCTGCTGTAATTTTTAAAGGTCACTTACCTTCGGAAAGATGGTGCTCCAGAAATTGAACGAATAAAGGCGACTCCAATCAATTAAAAGTGCCGTTAGATACCAAACTGCAGCAAAATCTGTGTCATACACATCTGCACTGCAGATACCCAGCTCTCCTTCCTTTCAACTGCATCAGATGTCACCACCTCTAATACTGGATTATCAGACATTTCCTCTAAAACCGTCTTGAAAGGACAGACACCACTCTCTTCAATCTATGTCACAAACCCTGTTTTCTGATTTTTAAGGCTGGCTGTAGCCACTTGCTGGGGTTGAACCCAATGCCATTTGATCCCATGATTACCCTCCAAATGCTTCAACACCAAGACTACATACATCCAGCTCACGGCCACTTCTGCACCTGCCTCCGTTCTTCAGTTGCTTAAACACTAATCGTGTCTTTTTATCTTGATCTAGGTTTGATCATTCCAACACAACCTTGTCTGGTCCTCCACCCTCAATATAACTTGAACTCAGCATTCAAAATTCGACAGTTCATATTCTAACTCACATCTGTTTCGATTAATCCTAACCCTGGATCCGCCTGACTACGTTGAGCCACAGTCTGGCAACACCTCAAACTTATAACGCTCCTCCTTGTTTTTAGATTCTCACCCTTCCCTATCTCTTGCAATTTCCTTCAGCCCTAAAATATGCCAACATCTCTGCATTTCTCCAAGTCTGACCTCTTCAGCATCTCTGACTTAAATCACTACACCATTAGTGGCAGTGCCTTCAGATGCCTGAATCCTAAGGGCTGGAATTCCTTACCTTCCACTCTCTCATCTTTATAGACTGTTTGAAATCTATCTCTTTGACCAAACCTTTGGTCATCCACCCTCATTAGCTGTGTGTCAGCAATGGCTCAGTAGGGAGGACACTTGCTTCAACATCATAAGAACAAGTTATCAGGTCATTGACGCATTGGCTTTTGTGAAATTTTGTTGTGCACAAATTGTCGTGTTTCCTATGCTAAAGTGGACACTGTGTTCCAAAAATAATTAATGGGCTGTGAAGCAGCACTTTGGGATGTCCCATACTTGTGAAATGAATTATATAAATACAAGTCAGTTTTATTAATTCATGGGCTATTGGTGTCATTGGTAAGGCAAGCAATTGTTACCTATTCCTAATTGTCCTTGAACCAGGGTGGCATAGTGACTTATATGAAGATATGAAGAAGATGGCACGGTGGCTCGGTGGTTAGTACTGTTGCCTCACAGTGCTAGGGACCCGGGTTCAATTCAACCCTTGGGCGACTGTGTGGAGTTTGCACATGCTCTGTGTGTCTGTATGGGTTTCCTATGGGTGCTCCAGTTTCCTACCACAGTCCAAAGTTTTTCAAGGACCGCAATTTCCTGCACCTCAGCCCTCACACCCCTCCCCGCAATAACAACAAAGACAGAATTCCCGTTGTCCTCACTTATCACCCCATCAGCCTGATTCAACGCATCATTCTCCGCAACTTCCGCCACCTGCAATCTGACCCCACTACCAAGGATATATTTCCCTCCTCACCCTTATCTGCCTTCCACTCTCTCCGTGACTCCCTCGTCCACTCCACACTCCCCACTAGCCCCACCACCCCTGCCACTTTTCCCTGCAACCGCAGGAAGTGCTACACCTGCCCCTACATCTCCCCCCTCACCTCCATCCCAGGCCCCAAGAAAACCTTCCACATTAAACAGATGTTCACCTGCACATCTGCTAATGTGGTATATTGTATCCACTGTTCCCAATGTGGCCTCCTCTACATCGGGGAAACCAAGCAGAGGCTTGGAGACAGCTTTGTGGAGCACCTACGCTCGGTTCATGACAAACGACAACACCTCCCAATCGCGAACCACTTCAACTCCCCCTCCCACTCCTTGGACAACACGTCAATTCTGGGCCTCCTCCAGTGCCACAACAATGCCACCCGAAGGCTGGAGGAACAGTACCTCATATTCCACTTGGGAACCCTGCAGCCCAATGGTCTCAATGTGGACTCCACAAGCTTCAAAATCTCCCCACCCCCGACCTCATCCCAAGACCAGCCCATCTCGTCTCTGCATCCTTAACCTGTCCGTCTTTTCTCCCACCTATCCGCTTCTCCCACCTCACTGACCAACCCCCACCCCCACTTCCTACCTACTAGCTTCATCCCCGCCTCCTTGACCTGTCCGTCTTCCCTCCCACCTACCCGCCCCTCCCTCCTCACTGACCAACCCCCATCCCAACTCCCTACCTACACTCACTTTTACTGGCTTCATCCCCACCTCCTTGACCTGTTCATCTTCTCTCCACCTATCTGCTCCTCTATCCACCTTCTATCATTGCCTCCCCCTCTCTCTATTTATTTCAGAGCCCCCTTCCCCTCCCCCATTTCTGAAGAAGGGTCCAGACCCGAAACATCAGCTTTCCTGCTCCTCTGATGTTGCCTGGCCTGCTGTGTTCATCCAGCTCTACACCTTGTTATCTCAGACTCCAGCATCGGCAGCTCCTACTATCTCACAGTCCAATGTTCCACAGGTTAGGTGAGTTGGCCATGCTAAATTGCCCATAGTGTCCAGGGATGTGCAGGCTCAGTGAATTAGCCATGGGGTATGCAGGGTTACAGGGATAGGGTAGATAGATGGGTCAGGGTGGGATGTTCTTCGGGCAGTCAGTGTGGACTCGATGGGTCAAATGGCCTGCTCCCACACTGTAGGGATCCTATGATTCTATGAACTGAATGGCTTGCTCAGCCATTCAAGAGTGCGGTTACGAGTCAACCACATCTGGAATCACATGTAGGTCAGACAGCAGAATTACCTCCTCTAAAGGGAACCACTGAATTAAATGGGTTATTACAAGTGAGATGCTTAGATGGATGCAGCTCCAATAACACAAAATCTTAACACCATCCAGGACAAAGCAGCTTGTTTGATTGGCACCTCAATCACCACTTTCAATATTCACTCCCTTTACCACCAAAACACAGATGCAGCAGTGTGTACAAACTACAGGATGCAACGGAATGATTCACTAATGGTCCTTTGACAACACTTTTCAAATGTGCGCCCACTTCCATCAAGAAGGAAAAGGGCATCAGAAACATGGGACGACCACCACCACCTGAAAGTTCCCCTCCAAGCTACTCACCATCCTGACTTGGAAATATATCGCCATTCCTTCATTATCCTGGGTCAATATCCTGGGTCAAACTCTCTTCCTAACATCACTGTGTGTTTTAAGTCACTTGGAGATAGCAAGAACAGCAGATGCTGAAGTCAGAGTAAAAACAGTGTGGAACTGGAGGAACGCAGCAGGTCAGGCAGCATCAGAGGTGCAGGAGAGTCAACGTTTTGGGTCAGAATTGTTGAAGGGTCCCGACCTGAAATTGATATTCTGAGGAAGGGTCACCAGACCTGAAACATTAACTCTGATTTTTTTCTTCACAGATGCTGCCAGACCTGCTGAGCTTTTCCAGTAACTCGAGTTGAACATAAAAATATACAAAGCCCCTTCACAGCAGCATTATAAAACAATGTATGTTAGTGAGTCACAGAGTGGGTGGTGATATAGTGCTGATGGTACCAAACCAGTGATTCAGAGATCCAAGCTTTTCTTGGGAAATGGGTTTGTTCCACTGTGGAAAATGATGAAATCTGAATTCAACGACATCTGAAATTAAAAAGTAATCTAATGCTGACCAGGTAACCATTCTTCTCAAAGTGAATCTGGTTCAGTAATCTCCTTTAGGGAAGGAAATCTGCTGTTACCTGGTCTGACCTACATGTGACTTCAGACCCACAAAGATGAAAAGGGATGTGGTTGACATTTAACTATTCTCTGAAATGGCCTCGAAAATCAATCAGTTCAACAGAAACCAGGGATGGGCAGAAATGTTGACTTTAACTGTAACACTCACATTCCAGAATTTTAAAAAAGGAGATATTGGGTAAAATAACTATAACCTTATTTGAAAAATATTTGGGATAGAAATATAATACTATAGTATTACCTGGCTTTCCATAGCCATGTAACCTCTACCAGGAGGTATGCATTGCAAGTATCTATCTTAAAGACAGTAAATTACATTCACTATACCAGGCGGACTATTGATCTATAAGTTTGTAACAGGAGGTCAGAATGGAACTGTGATTAACTGTTGAAGAACTACATAGAAGCACAGCTACTAAAAGAAGAACATAGGAATATTTAGAGTTGCTGAAAGCTACAGGGAAAGAAAAACAAGAAGCAAGATGTAGCTGAAAGCACTAGGTTAGACTCAAAGGCTGAAAACTTTCTTCTCCTGGTGCAGTCTAAATGAAAAGTGATATGAAACAGAGTTGGCAGTTTTTCCATGCGCAATGGCAAAACTTCAAGATTGCAACAGATTTAATTAACAAGCCAGACATCTATACTTTTATCACTTTTGAGAATAGACTGTTTTAGAATCTATTCCATCCTAAATTGCTCCAAAGAACACCAAAATGTTCTGAACCGCAGAAGTTTTGAAAAGCACACTGAATTCCAAGTGAATCTAACTGATGAATATTAGTTTCCAAGGTAAAAAAGCGTCCATTGATCAATATGTAACTGCATTAACACAACTCACAGAATCCTGTGATTGCACGACTAAAGAATCTAATTAGATACAGCATAGTGTTAGGCGTAGGAGATCCTACAGTAATGGCATGTCTGTTGAGAGAGGAGAAACTAACTCCCAAGAAAGCAATTGATGTGCAGAAGTGATGTGGCTGTAAATCAGCAACTGGAACATATTCATGGCAGGACAGCCCAAGATGTGCATTATCATTCCAGGCTGCTAGGGCAGTAAAATCATGAACAAAAGGTAGGACATAAATATTGTAAAGGCCTTCATCAAAGGAAAAAGAGGCAAGTCCAACATTGGAAAAGCAGTATTCTT